CTGTTGCCAATATGTGAATTAGAAACAAATCCCTTTAAAAATCAAAACCCAACATTTGAAACATCAATTTGAATACTTTTCGAAGTGAATTTGAAAAACTCATGAATTGAACTCAACTTTATTTTGTTCAAACTTGCATTTGCTGTAATAACCCAAATTGAGGAACATACCCCATTGAAAAGGCTGCTTTTCAAGAGTTTGGAACACTGTTCCGAACCAGGAAACTGTACAAACCTCAGCTCCTAATTTGCAGAAAAAAGCTCTCAGAATAATTACTAACTCTGGTTGTAGGGATCATTGTCTACCTCTGTTTTTGAAATTGAGAATAATGCCGTTGCCCACATTATTTTTATACTACGGTTTCATAGAAATTTAAAAAAAATCAACTTCATGAATCAAGCAATCAGACCTTCATGACTATGATACCAGACATTGTAACAAATTTTGAACAAACCGCTATCGTTTGAGTAAATCACAAAAGAACACACTGAATTTCAACCTCTTCAACTATCTTCGCAATAGTTTCAAGATTCTCAGTATGTCCAAACTCAAAAAAACAATAAAAAATTATCTTTTGAGTTATTGCTTCTATTCTGTCGAAGAATACGTGAATCATTTTGAATGTTTATAATGTCAACATATTCTTATATTTTTGTATTTGTGTTTCTCGTTTGTTTTTATAATATTTTGATTGTTAAAAATTACTTTCATGCTATTTTTTGACTTACTACAAACATTTTATTATGTAACGCGGTGAAATAAATTATCTTATCTTATCTGAGGAAACTATCCTCAGGTTTGCTTGAACTGCTTTTTTCTATATTCTCAGCAATTCTTTCAGACCTATACTGAATATCACCCTTGAAATAAATCTAGTTAGCCTATCAAATTCGTTAGGAATTTGCCAACGACAATCAGACAAGTTCTAACTTTATATTGCTATATTAAAACTTCAGTGTTTATTACTTATGTTTCAATATTCAAAAACGGAAACGTCTCTCGTTGATTTTCTCTCACGACAATAAAGAATGCGGAGTGGTGAATTTTCCTCCGTCTCGTCTTACATTTCTTATGAACATCAAGTTATTATTAATTCGTTTTTCAAAGTCTGGATGGATAGAAGCACATCTACCAAGATCCGACGGAACATTAAAATTCAGAGCAAAAGTATCAACGTGATTTGATTAACATCTTTTAAAAATTCAAGTTTCATTTTTTAAATTTCAATTTAATTCCATTGAATTGAATTTAGGTAACAATGTGATTTACTTTCCCTGTAGAATTTACTTGAAACAAGTCTATCGACTTGTAAATATACCAATAACCGAAATATACTTTCATAAGAAGATGGGGCTGAAGATGATTGGATACATTGCTATTCATATATTCAAGGTGAACGAACACATCACATCTTATCATTTCAACCTCTTGAAAGCTTCTGAATATAAATCACTTATTACCATCGTATTTTGTGTCATTCGTCAATAGACACATATGAAATATATTCCTGGGGTTTTTTTATTTCAAGGAATGTTTTTGTTGCAAAAGGCAAGCTTTGCAGTCTCTCTTTGGTAGATAGAATTGGTACCTCTGACATAACACACGTTTTGCCAACCAAGTTAGCATCATCAGAAGAGGACTAGTCATATTCATACAAAACTTCATTAAAAAGAAAGGTTGGTTGGGTAACACAATACATTTTTTTCTTGAAAAAACAATTGTTTTCTTGCTGACGTTTCGAATTCAATAAAATTCTTCTTCAGGGCTGTGTAACAATGAAGTTTCATAAACTTACCTCCCACAAAACTTATACGATTATTATCGTTTCAATTTCACAAGAAATAATGAGTTCTTGATTGAATTACTCACGGAAAAGTATTTTTTTTTGTGTTAATAATGTTACTATTTCAAACAGTAGACATATAAGATACATATTGAAAAATAAAAAAAAACATTGCAACAACTAAATTTTTGAGACGACACCAACACAAAGCGACATACAAATATTAAATACATAAACATAATAATAATACATATATTGAATTAATATGATATACATATACATACCTTTTTTTTATTTATTTGTTCATCTGTACATATACAATTTATGAATATTTCTACATCATATAACATATGATGTAGAAATACACAGAAATATTTATACATAATCCACATTGTATCCGGATTCATTATAGATTTTCCAATCGTTTATGAAAATATTGACTTCCTTCTAGTCCCTGTTCAGAATCGAAATATTTGTATTTTCGTGTTGAAAAAAACTCGTTTTGTTCTATAAAATATATGCAAATTTATGTCTTTAAACTTTACCGAACTTTACTACATATAATTACATATTGAATTATATAGTTATTGTGGTTCTAATCGATTTATATAATAACAACACTTCCAAAATGCAAATCATGAAATTATAAAACAACAACAAAAATTAATTGGCGCTCTGGGGCGACTTTATTGATTCCAGTGGCGTATTTGCTTTTTCAGCTGCAGGAAAACCCGGAAAAACCTGCAGCACCACATCATCTGAAGATCTTGATCTACCAATGTTCTCTCTCTCATTAAACAAAATGTAGGGTGTCTCCAGAGGCTCCAATAAATTCAATACATCGCCAGAACACTTAGTGAGACGACTTAAACCAACCCGTATCGTCTTTGAACAAGTCGTAATAATGACCAGATTCAACGCCAGAAACACAGTGAACAATGACTGCATGAAGATTATAGTATTGGTCTGCTAGATTGAAGTGTTCATCTATTTCGAACCTTCGTAAGAGTTTGGTGCTTCCGTCAGAGGTTGAGTCATGTTTGAAGATCATCAGTGTTATTATTATATTGACTGGTGCCTAAGATATACTTGTTTTCTTATTACACCAAGTTAGTTTGGCGCATGTTTGTCAATACAGTCGATCATCACCTGTTAAAAGTTCCATTTTCAGATGATTAAACAATAAGCTTTGCACGTACTGGTTATTAGTCTCAATAGGAAACGCTAGTTGATGTTCCAGAAATTCACATTCGTTTTTGCTACCTCTTGAACATTTTCTATGAAGTAAACAAGTGAGGATTTTCCAGCAAAAGATTTACAAACACAAGACGAGATAGACTGTACGGAATCATTCAATCCAGAGCGATCAGGAGTATTGATTTTGCTATTGTTTTCCTCACGAAGAGAACAAGAATCCCAAGAATTCGGAACAATCCTCTTGTTGTTCTAAAGAGTATCTAGTGGACTTCAAAGACTCTAGGAAATCGGTTGAAGGGGGAGATGATACATTCTTACGAAACTGCAGCTGCATTAACAGGTGTTTGAGTTTAATGAATGAGTGGGAAACATTCTCGTTCGCGTCTCAAATTTTTGAGACAACACCAATACAAAACGACATGAAAACAAACGAATGGCTTTATCTGTGAATAAATTTTGAAGTAGAAATTCGTTTGAAAGTAAATCATCTTTCAGCTCTTTTCTGAATTTTGTAAGCGACAGTGACTTTAATGAATCAGGAAGTCGATTATATAGCCGAGATTTAATATATGAAAAGGAGCATCGGAATAATACAGTTTTATAGGAAGGAGTGGCTAGGTTGGGTTAGGTCTAGAGTGAGTGGGTCTATTCGACCCTCCACCGCAACCCCCAAGACATTATTGTGACTCGCACCTATTCACACTCGACTAAATAAACCCAGCTTCTTAACGATGCTGATTAGTTTGTATGGCGAGTGGTCTTTCAGGTCAGATGGTAAAAGTACGGCTCTGCCGAACTCTAAAAACCTGATTCGGTCCCCAGCGGGGCAGGCACAAAGTATGTGCTCTGCAGTTTCATCATTTTTTAAACAGAGGCGACACACACACTGCCTTCCGACAGTCCGAATCTCTGCATATAATGGTTCAGATTGCAGTAACCTGTAAGGAGGCCTGTTAGACATCGTAGTTCATCCCTACTGTAGTTTCAAGCTTCAAAGGGTGAATGGACGCTTTGGAGTGAGCCAATCTTGAAAGAATTTGGCAGACGTCTTTAAACCTTTTTGCCATCCAGGTGTTCAATGTTTGTTTGGCAAAACCTAAAGCAATGCCAATGACAGGTTCTGGTCCGATGAAGCTACTTGCAGCACCAGCTCAGCAGCTTCATTGCATTCCAGGCCAGTATGGCCCCGAATCCAGGTCAGAGACAATCTGTGAAGTCTTCCTATCAAGGAGAGTCGTTTTTGGCAATTTGCCACCAATATTTTTATTGACCTGTGTATGAGGTTTGAATGATGTTTGAATCTCAAATTCAGGTGATGAATATCGGTACGGAAACTGATCTTTTCATAGAGATAACTTGGTACTTTTGTGAGGATTATATAATGAAACAAAATGCAAGAGTGGAAATCCTAGACTACTCAAATGATGAGAAACAGGTTGTCGCCTGTTTGTTCCAGTGATGAGTCCTAAACAAGAATTCTATAGACTTTGTAGTCTTCTCTTGCCAGACTGTAATAAACTTGGGCCATACATAGTATCCGCTTAGTGTGTTCAAGTAATAATCTCCATTCAGAATATGAAATACAACTTATACAACTAGTATTCACATACTAGATTCATTCATTGTCACAAATAAATATTTTCAATACTTCCAATTCAACTCTCTATTTGCGCTTTGCCGATTTCCGATTCATATTGACTGTGTTAACATTAATAGGAGGGTAAGGTTTTTTTATGAGAAAACTAATATTTCTCAAATGTATGTAGAGTCTGAAAAAAAAGTTTCACTTGAATATTTGAAATATTCTTGTGTATCCATCTATATTTCTATTGCATTATATTCTGATTTCTGCATCCACCGTTTTGAGCAACTTGGACAAAGCTTCAAACCGGTACATCCAGAAACGTATTCTTAAACATTTCAACGACCAAATTTGAAGTCAACTGAGAGCAAAGTCAATTCTTTTCTTTGTTTTATGACTTCAAAATTGAACCTTCATATTCAACTTTACGATACTTACTTGCTGAATAATCGTAAAACAACGCAGATGGTAATGAACATCAGAAACATCGCCACCAGAATTCCAATCATTGCCGGGTCGATATATTTTTCTGGAGTGTACTTTGTTTGAACATCTGAAAATAATCAATGAATATATTATATACGAGTATGATATTCAATTCGAAATTTAAGCCATTTTATCATTTCAAAAGTTATTTTTGCAAAATTTTCAAAAACGAAAGAAATCTGAATTGAACAAGCATATTGACCCCTTAAAATTATCATATAGGATGTACTATTCAAAATTTACCGCAAAAAATCACCACTAGAGGTAACATTTTTCGCAAAAGTTAAAAAACGAGTCAAGTTTGTTTGTCATGCGGAAAAGTTTTGATCTAGAAACTATTGCAGAACCGTCAACTACCAGGAATGACATATCTACATGTTTGAAACAGGACTGTATGTCGAGGAGTACCTCTTTGAGAAGGAATTTTCATTCCATATTGAATGCTATTTTGGTAGCAATATAAAGAAGCATTGCCTTGTTGAAACATCATATCCATATTATTTTGGAGTTGATCCAGGCACTTATTACCTGCTGAGATACTTGTGATATACTGTTTGGAACCTTTGGTAGAGTAATGAATATTACCGGAGTTTTTTCCCAACACCAAATCGTTATTTTTACACCTCGACACGTGTTTCGATCACCAAGTGATCATCTTCAAGAGGAAGATAAAACGATTTGGTGTTGGGAAAAAACTCCAGTAATATTCACCTGCTGAGATACTGATTGAATGGTAAACACTACAAATTGTTCGGAGGAAATTTATCTTCAACATTCAAATTTGATTCAAAATTTGTATTTATCGGAAAACGTATTGTTGGATTTTCAAAGCTGCATGTCTTCTGAATCCGTGAACCGGTTTATAAAAGCAAATCAGGGAGTCAGATGCAATTTCCAATATGAAGTCACTCATTTAAAATTTGTAGTTATGCAATGGTTTTTGATCAATTTAACATGTTGTTTTCTGTCATTTCTCCTTGCGATTTGATTCAGATGTGTATTGAGAATACTGAAGAATTAATCGAGGAGTCGTAATCTTGTACAAGAAAAATGTTTTTTCGTGTTCGGAAGTTCAAAGGGATGCTAATGAGGAGTCAAAAAAAAGTGTTTTCGACCCGAAACTACGACAAGTGGACTTCAAGGACGATAGATTTCTATGCGAGACAAATTTCATAACAGAGGTCTTTCACATATTACGTTGAGAATTGTTTATATGAATGATATTTGTTTCAATTCCATAAGAAATATGTGAAAGTGGTTTTGGAAGTTTCCCATATTTTTTGAATGAAATTGGAGAAGTAGAGAGACGAAAAGGTTTTTAGTAAATTGATGGATGTAGCCATTACTATGTGGTAGGAGGTCATAGTGAAAAATGATTTACAATTTCCTAGGTTTTTATACCACTTGTATTTTTAACTAACGTTACTGCAGTTTCGTCCTGCAAGGGCATTTTCGAACTAATACAATAAACAAATATGAGTGATATAAAAACCTAGAGTTTTATTTCTCATTTTTCATTAAAAGCTCTTTCCCAGAACCTAAGAAACTGTATCGAGCGATTTTCCCAGTTTGTTAGTCTGCAGGTTTTTGCAAAACGTTTGGTTTCGACTGAGAGGAATATTATTGAAGACAATGAGGTAATATAACCATAACCTTTCACCGGTTACTTTTTATAATTTCTACCGCAGTCGTAGACAAAACGTCAGGCATATAAACCTTCAGAACATAGCCGACAAATCCGAAAAATAGTTTTGACATAGTCATCTTCGGCGTGATTAACTGAAGAATTATTATTACTGGAGTTTTGTCCTAACACCAAACCGTTATTTTAACACCTCGACACGTGTTTCGATCATATTCAGGAGAAATATTAAAACTTGATCTTCAAGAATAAGATTGAAACTTAATCTTCCTCTTCAATCTTGAATCTTTTCATCTTCATCTTAAAGATTAAGTTTTAATCTTCAAGATCATCAGTAGTCCAGTCATTTAAGGTTTTATCTGCGGAAAAATTCCCACCGAGCTGAATTTTGGTATACACCTCCATTATGGCGTTCTAATGAAGATGTGAAAAATCGACATTGATATCGTGTTGGCTAAAAAAGTTATAAGGGTCAAAGGTCACGAAAATAAGTTTTTCGCGATCTATGGCTCGGAGGTCAATAAAAGTCATTATGAAAATTATTCCGCATACGATTATCTACAAAAAATGTCTCTTGCATTTTTTTGTAGTCAACCGTTTTCGGACTAGAGCGCTGATAAAGCGACTACATTATGATGATGTACTCGTTTCCACACCACCTTTGAGGTAGAATACAAGGCGCGTTTTTTTTACATGGTTTCCCCCGTAGGAATAATCCATGAACTGTAATAAAAGGTTTTTCTTATTTTATGCTCAATAATTTTGATTTGTACATTGAAAAATAGGGAATAAGAATTGTACCTAATTTTCGTTTGTATTCATTCGTCGTCAATATCCTCAATTTCAACTTCATCAAAAGTTGCTGACAAAACATCGAGTGGACTTATTGCTGTATTTAAATCAACATCTTCATCATTTTCTTCAGTTGTGGACTTTGTGTTTAAGCATGACTGACCACGACAATGTCCACAAGCTTTAGAACATCTCAATCCAATTTTTTTACATCCACATTTGCCACCACAACCTTTTGTACAATTACAAAAGATTGTGTTTAGTAGATCATCGGGTGCTGGTGGCAATAAAGTTGTTATTAGTTGTAATATATTATTTTTCAACTCCCAGCTCCACTGTTCTGGATCAATTTCTTTTCCTAGCCAGGTTTGTATTTGATAAAACACACGATAAATATGCTGTCGAGCTGCTGAAGAAGTGGGTGGTAATAATTGAAATTTCACAGCTGTGCTTTGTCTTGTTAGTTTAGCAAAGCTGCAGTATCTGTAATTGTCAATTGCATCTTCTGATTTTGGAGCACCGTACATTGCTGGTAGAAAATGTATTCCAGCATTGTCAAGGGCATCTCGAGCGCAATGTTCTTGTTGGAATATTTCTGCAGAATTGTGTAAATCGGATCTTTTTTCAAACATTTTCATGACTTTAACTTTTCCTTTCCCAAAAAGTGTTGAAGTTGTGTCACATCCGGTCATAGCATGCAGAAACAGAATATTTTTCTTGCAGTGTGGATACTTGTTGAGGCTCTCAGTCGAGTATTTTTCTGTTTCAACTTTGTTTTTCCTTGGTTTCTTAAAAAAATGGATGTAGGTTGATCAAGTATTTGTGTGCGTGCTATGAGAAGTACCAATAGATCTATGTCTTCGCCAACGATAATTGTAGTATTATTTATTGATTTTTCAATTGCTGTTTCAACTATTAAGTATCATCACGTGATTGTCCTGTAGAAATACCAACTTTTTCGAAATTCTTAATGATCATTTCAATTAATTTTCTTTCTATAAATCGATTAGATAGGACTGACTGACTGATAGGAACTTCCATCGATTCATTGAAGTGCACTTCACAAGATGTAGAAACGGCTGCGCTTCATCTTAGTTGTTCCATCGCTTTGATATTTTTACTGGTATCGGAGTAACCATTAAAAATGACAACAGTATTTTGACCAAAATTGTTCGATAAATAATTGATATATTTGTTAATGATAATATTGAAAGTGTCATTTTTTTGCCATACAACACGATGCATAAGAAATCCACCATCAATTGTGTATGTTGCATTATCACAAACTAATTGATAATTAATTGGCTATTTTTGATTTCTGAGTTTTTCTTATGCCAACATTATCATATAGTGCTGTTGGATATGGACTTGATTCATACTGTAAATATTCACAGAGATTTTCCTTAAATTTTTTATTTAAACTAATTCGTTGAAATAGCAATAACGGATCGATAGGTACATCTGCCAGTGGAGGTCATTTGTATTATATATAGTAGATTTTACTAAGTCCCGAAACCTCTATGATATAAGTATATTTGTCACAAAACGCCCAAGTAGAAGTTAGAAGTTTTAAGAAAACTTAAATACATTGATAAAAGGCAATAGAGTTGACGCCTTATATGTATACGGTATATCTATAATACCCTATGTGAGTGCATTCTACTCGCTTTCTCATCGCTCTAGTCCGAAAACGTTTAACCTTACAGAAAAATGCAAGAGACATTTTTTGTAGATAATCGTATGAGGATTAATTTTTAAATGACCTTTATAGACCTCCGAGACATAGGCCGCGAGATATTCGCGAAAAATTGATTTTCGTGACATTTTGACCATTATAACTTTTTTAGCCGTCACGATATCAATGTCGATTTTTCACATCTTCATTAAAACGCCATAATGAAGGTATATACTTAAATTCAGCTCAGTAATAATTTTTCCGCAGATTGAGGTTTAAAAAACGTAAAACGACTGGATTACAGGTTTACAATACAACATCAGCTACTCGTGAAGAACTAGAGCATAAAGTAAGGGTGGCATTCCAGAAAATCACTGAGGAACAGCTAATCAATGTGAAGCGCGCAACAATTGAAAAAGTTGAACTCTGCCGTGATCAAGGAGGAGACCATTTTAAAAATGTATAACCTTAATGGAGTAATTTGCGACTTTCTTGCAATTATTCACAAAAATAGAGAAAATACATTGAAAATGTGTAGCATCAAATTATTCGTAAGAAAATGATCTTTCACAAAAAGCCAACGAGCCACGCCATTTCCATTTGAAAAAATCAAAAATTCACATTCACGACTGTGAAATAATTCTTAAAACGACTGTGAAGTCATAAGCCCCAAAGTCGTTGTCCTCCCATGTTACTTGATCAAGAAAGAAGCGATTTACACGATCCATGGCATTCTAGATAAAAAAATATAAATTGGAATAAAAATGATTTTGTTTGTCAAATATCGACAAGTGAAGTATTGTTGGATTTAGAATGTCATTCTCGATCGAAATAAGTGAAAATATATAGGATGTCCCATTTAAAAATCGAAATTAGGGGTCATTTCCGGTCAAACTGGAAGTACCGCAAAGCAATTAAATATGCCAAAAAAATGTAAATGGGACTATAATACACAACCCCCAATTTCGTTTTTCTATCTCCAATAATAAAAAAGTATCTTCAATACTCACTTATACAATCGATGATTCCATCGGGCCTGAATATAGGTTGTTTTTCGAATCGGCAGATGCATATTCCTTCTTTGCATTCAGTTTGAAAGTTGACGGCTTCACACTGCGCATTGAACGTACATGACTCATTCACTCGAGCAGCTGAAATATTAATACAATAATTACTACGTTAACGATTGTACTCCAATGAATTAGCAAATAACGATGATTGGGATTTATTGAACATAAATTCGGTCAGACGAAATTCGCATGTTAGCAATACAAATTTGATGATCAGGATTGCAAAGTTATTCGAATAATTTCAGTAAGTTCCAATTGGTCAACAATCTTCAAGTATGACTTCAATATAGATAGAGAAGTTATTAATTGGACATAGCACTCAAGATAGTGGCAAACCATAAACACGTGTTTCGGGCTTTTGTCCCTTAACACTTGGTTACCAAAAAAAATGTACAAATGCACGGAGCCACCACCAGGAATCAGCCGCACATTTGTGGTTTCAGTTGATAGATCTTGTGTTTACAAGAAAACTATCAAAATCACCACGGAAGCAGCTAGAGGTACCTGCGTGACATCCGAGTCCAATAAATAATACAAATATGAAGTAATTTGATGGATGTAGCCGTTACTACGTGATAGGAAATCATAATGAAGAAAAGAGAAATGAAACTTTCTATGTTTTTACCACTTTTATTTGTAACTAACGTTACTGCAGTTTTGTTACTTCTTTATTGTTACTTCTTTACTGCTTTATGTATAAGTTTGAAAGTATCCGTATAGGACGAAACTTAATTGTATAAGTTTGAAAATTTGCGTATAGGACAGAACTGCAGTTACAAATAAAAGTGGTAAAAAACATAGAAAGTTTCATTTCTCTTTTCTTCACAAATATGAAGGTTTATTGAGTGTCTTGATATAGATACAGAATTTATTATTCGGACATAGCATTCAAGATAGTGGCAAACCAGAGACACGTGTATAGCTTTAGCTGCCTCCGTGGTGATTTTGACAGTTTTCTTGTAAAGATCTATTAACTGATGATCCATTAACTGAAACCACAAATGTGCGGCTGGCTCCTGCTGGTGGCTCCGTGCATCTTTTGATAACCAAGTGTTGCCCATCCTTTCACTTGGCTGCATCATACTGATGATGGGCCACAAGCCCGAAACACTACACCGATAATAATTTATCGGAGTCGCGTGGGTGAGGGGGACACAGCTGCCGGGTCGCTTGAGCGAAAGAAAAGCGCAATATCGTTCGACACGTTCATGTCGGGTCAGCAAGAAGAGTGCAATCCTCTATTTTCTTCGTGAAAACAATTTTTTTCCAAACAAAGTGAAAAAATAGATGAGATGCAAAGTTTCACCAATAAAATTCCGTAGATTCCATCTACACCATTTCGAGTTCAACATTTGAGTGAAAATCACAGTTACCATCAATTATAATAATCTTCATTCTAAATTAACCCAACTGATTTCCTTATTATATTGAGTGAATCTTGGTTAAAAAAACTCAGTGAGAAACACTATTATGATCAGTTTCAATTTTTTCAATGAGAATGCCTACAATAGGTACATTTAAAAATACTAAGAAGATCATTAGATGAAGACATGAACATTTTCGTTTTCAGTCAAAATTTAATTGAAATATTTCAACCAACACCGAGTATTTCGTTGTCCATCGGTTAGCTATATGAATAAACCCCCGCTATTTATTTTTATCAAATTACCACCCGGAGGTTTTCCCATGAATTTACACTGGGAATTTCACGGGAGCACGTATATCTCAATTTCAGATTGCTTTGCCTCTGAAAATTATTTGAATTTCAGATAAGAGAAAATCAATCTATAGTAGTCGATCATTAGGGTCACATTCATATTCATGAATGGGAGGTTCAGTGTTTTGTTAGCTATGTATTTGAAAGGTGATTGAAAACTGAGGTAAGTTTAGGACTTCGCAAGATGTTTGTTTGAAGTTTGGTCTATTATTTTTTTGAACATATCTTTATCTAGCGGAGTGAAATAATATGCTTGCAAATACCATCTATTTTTCTTTTTCAGGAACTACTTGTGTCAGAATTATTCACACGAATTTTGAAAAGATGATAGTAACATCAAAAGACAATTTACAAACTCCAGGAAGACACACTCAATCGTTAAGATATAAAATTCGTCCCAACAGTTCTCTCAATTCAATAAGATCGAACCACTCTATATCCACCACTCTATAACATATTATGTAGTTTGTATAATAATATTCCTGAAAAATATAAAGTTAGTAGAGTTTCCTTATTTAAGTACTGTTACAAAAAATATCTCATCGCTGCTCAATCAGAAAGTCATTGATTTCATAGATTTTATACTTCTGAAAAATTTTCAGTATGGACATTCAACATGGTTTCTCTCCCTCTTCCCTCTCTCCTTCCTCTTTTTCTTTCTCTCCTATTTTTTTGTTTTTTCTCTAGTGTTTTCTTTTCTTCAAGGCTAGAACTAAGATCAACAGTATCCTTCTGGTACATGTTGTTTCTAGCCTCATTTGTAGTTCTTTTTATTAGTTTTATAGATTAAATAATAATTGTATTTATAAGTAATGAGGAACTACAAATAAATATTATATTGATATATCCAATTAGCCTCATTTGTAGTTCTTTTTATTAGTTTTATAGATTAAATAATAATTGTATTTATAAGTAATGAGGAACTACAAATAAATATTATATTACTATATAGTTTTTAGCAATACATTTGATTTTTCTCATAAAATTGCCCACTATTCGAAACATTTCTTTCGGCAAAAATAATTATCAGTTTCAGATATATACTCTCCAAGATTTTAAACCATGAAAATGTTTTTAAGAGAACTTAATTGAGATGATCAAGTTAAAATTGAAAAAAAATGATACCAAAGTCTATAAGTATTGAAAAAAAATTATTTTACAAAATGGTGATTAGGAGTATGTTACTGTCCAGTCCTGTTTGATAGGTCGAATGTTGTTAGAAAAGTAAAATCGTCTGATAAAAATGAATAATACTTTCACGTTTTTAGTCCCTCCTATCCCGAGGGTTGGGCTACCTATCGGGCGCGTCCCCAGGTGGCGGATAGGGGAACAGCCAGGGGACTGGGAGCCCTGTCCGGGAAGCAAATGTGGCCTTAAGGACAGGGTCGCCGGACTCCTGGTCAGTGGCAGAAATAACTAGGGTGAGGGGAACCAAAACTCCCCAAAAGCCTTTGCGAAACATGCCACCGTGGACCAACCTACCCAAGCTAAGGTGTAAGGAATCGTGCCGACAGCTGAATGGCCGCAGGGTGATAGGCGGTTACGAACGATCCCCTTGGAGAACCGGGCGGAACCTCATTGTAATCAGCCTTTCTGTGGTAATGCGGAGATCTGCCAGATGGACCAACTCTTCCCTTGCTACTCGTGGGAACACAAATGAATGAAACAAACACAAAAACAGACACAGAAAAAACAAAAACCAATCCCGAGGCTGAACAGAAATGCTCACCTCAATCTATGGCTGTGGCTGGGGATGAGCAGAAATGTCCAGCCCAGTTTACCGCTTGGAATAAGGCTGGACATGGCAGATCACCTTGTGATATAATACAAAGGCCAAGGCGTAAGCGCATTCGTGGCGCCAAGACTAAAAGGAGAAAGAGAGCGATAGAGGCAAGAGTGGCAGCAACTATAAGTGCACCCTCCTTCCCCACTCTACCTCCAACAGCAAGGCACTTCCTGCGGCGGACGCAAAGAGCTCCGCCTTGAATAAAGGTAAGTAACTGGCTGCCCCTGTAGGAAAGCGCTCTTACTTGAGCACCTCCATGGAGGGAACCCCAAGAAGGTTGAAGAAGCCGCGCAACGACAGTAATGTCGCTGCACCTTCCAAAACCTTCATGAAGGCCGTCGTGAGACACCTCAAGGTTGCCAAAGAGAGTATGTGTTCGGAAAGTTTTAGCCTTCACCTGCCGATATAAAGGAGATGTCTTCTAGTGACCTCTCCACCTTCCTGGAAAGGACAGGATGGACGATGACCTAGTAGGACAACTCCTCGGGAGGATGTACAATGGGTCACATGTGGCCTAAGTGCTGTGGTTATACACTCACCCTTCCTACTCTACAGATACAGATAGTCCCTCCTATGAACCACCTCTGGACGTGACAATCCGATAACGATAATCACAGTGGCATGTGATCACGTATATACGAGAACATTCAATGAGCTATGTATACTGAAAGTGAAGTGACTTATCAGTTTCAAACAGTGTCTAGGTGAAATGCGATAAATATAAAGCCTAATATGAATATGGTGTTCCGTTGCTATAGTCTTCAGGTACTTTTCTTGGTTTTTTACGAGGACCGCCTGTCCAGTACTGATGATTTCCAACAGACTGAAATAGATGTTCACCGGTGGTTCTTAAATCGAAATCAAATTGGGAATGATCAAAATTCTACTCATCTATTGATTTTTTGATTTTCATGGAATTATTTTCCAGCAGCTTTACTACAATAACCTTTCTTGATTTTATATCATTTCTAGAAACAAGACTACTCCTTGGTTGGTGAATGTAAGTTGAGGAATATCAATATAGAGAAGATGAGCTGATACGTGAGTAGATTACCCTGTTTTCAACAAAGAGATTAAGAAGACTGTCCCAATGTAAAACTTTGAAGTCATATACATTTGATAATAAATCATGATTCGTTTGTCGCTGCAGTATTAAAACCAATTCCATCCATGAATAATTTCGTTCATTTGTACAAAAACTATCATTGACATGTTACAATCTGCCTCCTTTGAAAGTTTGCTACTTTTTATATTCCAAATCAGCAAATAGAGAAGACATTTCCAAAACGAAAATCATCACTACCGTAGTTGATTACTATGTGAAAATTTATGGTATTCTGAAAACTCAAGTGACGTGAATGCTATTTCAATCAAAGTCTATGTTCATCCGAAATTCCTTTTGAGTTTACAGGACAATGATCAACTGACAAATTTTTTTCATTACAATTCAATTTAGTTATTCACAATCGATAGTTGCAATTTTTGCATGCAACATGAAACATTTTATCGATTATATAAATTTTTCATAACCTTCTGGGAATTTTATAAATGCGATGCATGTCTCATAACGGAATTAAT